ACTTTTAGTATTCTACGTCCTTTTACCCTATCTTATCCCTTGCTCACCGTTAACGGAACCATCTTTTGCTAAAAAATTTGGATATTTACCTTCAAAAAAGCACATCCCCTCTTCCCTCTGTCTCTTTTTATAAAGCCATTTTTTTATTATAAAGCTTATATGAAGACCCTAAGACGCCTCTGGCCCAAGCCAAACCCAGGTTGTTTGTTCTCGCGTCCTGCCACGTCACTCCACAGCAATGAAACAGAAATGGCTTGTTATATACCTCCTCCCTTATTGCTCTTCCCAAGCCCCCGACGGAGCTAAACTACAAATGTCCCATATCCGAACGCCCTCACTCCCCCCCACCATACTTACTGTTAACCGTCTTTTAAAACGGTTGCTACTCTAACCTCACTTTTCTTACCCTACAGGCCTGGGGATGAATAATCGAAAAAAGTACTTTTACCGAACTTGACTTCTTAAATAATGACTGCCGCTCAGTGTCCTTCCTCTTCTCCACCTGTGTAGGACTGAAATTTTGGTGGTTGGTGTATACCAGTATTTTAACTGGAATAGTTTTACCTGTGTGAGTTTGCATTGCAGAATTATGCTTATCGTCAAACTGAATTTTCTTTTTGTTGGAACAATTAACCCTCTTTTCCAACAACTTTGGAGATCAGTATGAGTAGAAATTGATGGAGAGGGGGCACTTTGCTGTCAAGCAGGTCAAATTATGTAACATCAGACAAATTGATAATATAATTGTATGTAAAGTCGTAACTTGAAACCAGGACACAGACAGTGGAGGCAGCCGTATTTTCACTATTAGCGTCACTAAGTCGTCCATTTTGACTAAAAGTGTTTGGCTCGGTAAGCGCTGTAACGACCCAAGGAACTGAATGATTGTTTAAGTACACCAAGGTGGTCGCTTTTGGCGCGGAACCAGGATGGACTCGCTCTGCGAATTGGAAACTTCGTGACTAATAGAGGCGTGGAGGCCTTGCCGGGCATATCGCCGAGGACAGAGGATGTCAACTGGGTGCGCTTCCGTTGGTGCCCAATCTGGAAGAACATTAGATTTAATCGCACACCGCCGACTGTAACGGTAGAATTTGGAAGACCACAACAGTAACAGGCCGAAAAGTCCTGAAAATGAAATGACATCACAAAGATTCACTACGTTGTGGAATTTGGTTTTTAAATCATTAACAGCCGCCTAACAGACCTCGTGTTAGATTGTATCATTTGAAAGGTGCAACCGAAAAGGCGGGAAAGTTCAGGAGCAGAAGCAGTTTCAGGCTTATCAAGGCCATCTTAGGTCAACTATACCGCCGCTTCCCATGAGAATAGCGCCAAGGTTACCATCAGAGGGTACTAACTCGCTCTGAGTCGGCGATCTATGTGCGCCTACTTCCAGTCCCTGGGTCATCTACAACAAGAGTAGTGACATAATAAAGCCCCTTTTAGTCAATTGGACGTAAGCATACACCAGTTACTCAGACTGACGCAACGAGCACACACCCCGAGCACTTACGCCAACTTTGCTTAATAACTTACCTCTGTGAAGCCCTTCGTAGAAAATTAACAACATTCCAGTACATACAACCTCCTTATCGGATAGTAAAATTGAGTATTTAAATATTTAGCTCTTACAAATTCTAATCACTTCATCTGAGGTATTCATGGATACCTTGCGTTCACTGATAACTTTATTTGAAGACACAGAAGACACAGACGACATCCTCGAGGTGTAGTGTGGGAAGGAATTGTGAGACTGTCTGGCGGCTCCAGTCAATCGTTTTCACTTCGGTGAAATATGCCATGGGCACTGAAATGAACAAATATAGTACTGAAAAATAAAAAGTTTGTAATTCTGTTCACTTTACAAATAAGGGTCGCCGGATGCCAAGTTTGGCGATTTAACCGCCCGACTAATGCGTCCAGTGCAACTGCCATCTGGACTAGGGGTGCAAACGCAGGCCCTACAGACCTGCCATTTTTGCGTCGGAATAAAGGAGGCAAATATGACGAAAATAACGGCTTACGTCGAGATTCGTAGCTACCGTTAGTTAGACAGGAGCTCCAGGACAGAACGGAATGCCCGCATTCCAGCCCGCAATCACGCCAAAACGGTAAACATCACTGCCACTTGACCTTTGAAATTCCAGATCAAAACCGAAGCACAGGAGTCCGTAGCCTAACTAGCCGAGCACGGACTAGGTGACAAACTAAACAAGCGCTGCAGTCCTATGCTTTTGTTACCTACGGCGAATGCGTCAGAATATGTCCACTTAACTACCGTCAATTTCTCGCCTCATAGATTCCCGGTGTATGCATTTAATGGCTTTTTCTCGTCTTTTCCGAAGGACGATATGGCAAATTGAGTTTCATAGCACGAATTCTTGCGGACTTTTCAATGGTCGTCTACAAATACCCCAGGGAAACTCCAAACATTCTTCGTGGGTTGACAACCAAACGAAAGGCACATTCCTCCTTGTACGTGGGTCAAATGCAAAAAAAAACATAAATATTTCAGAGATAATCGACCAGGTATTCACAAGTACCGACTCGTCCCATCCGTATTAGAGTGAAGAAAGAAGGGACGACAAAGCAACCTCTTTTGCACTGTAGTTTAAAACCATTTTTACAAAAATTAAAAAAGGACTACTACTGAGGACCATGAAATAGATCTAAAAATAGGCAGAGGAAGATTACAAAGGGCATACAGGTTCGCCAAGAAACGCATACTTAAAACAGAACACCAAAGCGCCCATTCCACTACCGGGATTCACGGAGTCAGGCAAGATGAAGTAAATGGGTGGCGCCGAAGGCGGCAAAAGCAAACACATTTAACCAAAACCTCACGCCAGACCGCGATTAAGGAATTTTTTCACGCGATAGATACGGACTATCCAGTTCTCCGAGGTGAAAGCTTCCTCCACCGTCTTCAGTTCGTAGTCTCGGTTGCCGATGTCTGCATCACGAACACGGTCATAGCCCGGTGGGCGGTCTACACATAGAGGCGAGAGAAAAAAGGACATACAGATGGCTCGTCTTCCACAGATTTAGCAGAAGTGTAGTTTGGATGAAGGAATGGTATAAAATTTCCACTTCGAAGTGCAAAGCTGTGATAACTGACTCACTTGCTGCGGTGTACTTCTCCCAGAAACGGTAATAGCTCAGTTTGTATAGAAGGCAATTGAGGAACGTTGGTGAGCCCTCCTTGTCAACACGATAGACACCAGCCCTGCTGAGGTAGTCGTGTTCACGAATATGCCTTCCTTTTTCCGTACTGCCAGCGATGCGTACCATCCAAAGAAATTTGTTGATGTCTGTAGTAAAAAAGAGGTTAACGGAAGGGCTGGAAACTAAAAGGAGTAACAGGATGATGAGTGCTGATAGTGACGTCTCCATTACACATACGACGTGAAACTACGTTCTAAAGACCGGAGATGTCGCACCCTGTCAGTGATCCGGCATGAGAGTAGGAGTAATTAAGTGGCGGTGGTATTAGTCGCAACAAGTGCGTCTTAGCTTACTTCTAGTCCAACTGACTCTGGCTTGCCGATTATACGGAAGAGTGAAGAGAGAGCGACGTCATTCAGGTATAATCCAGAGTTGACTTTACTCAACAAGGGCGCTTTTAACCTACCACGGTGTGTCAACAATCGTGGCTTAGAAGTCTTCCGAATAACGGAAGAGTTTGGTCCTTCTTCGGGCTGCAAAGCGCTCTTTTTTAAGTCAGTTTCGTGTGGAGTTAGCTACTCTCACACGGACTGCTTAAGCTTGTCGAATGTCGCGGTGACGCCCATCTCCAAAGGAACATCAACCCTAAAAACACTCGTTCTATGGTAAGATTAGCTCGATGGGCAAAAGCATAGTCACTTACCGTCAGAGGAGTAGGATGAAGCGCCGCCAAAAATAACCAAGATGTAGTCAACATCCAGCTCTTGCAGGATTTCGTAAGCGTCGTCCTCACTTGAGGCCATTGCCTGACCAACACGTCCGATGTGCGTGTTATTCCAGGTGTTGTTGTCTACCAGGACCGTACGATTGGCAATTGCTGTTATCTGGTAGCCATAATCCCACCAGGACATAATTTTCGCATTCTTCAACAAAAGAGAAAGAAAGTTGTGCTCACCGATTCCGGCGGGACGCGCATGATGTAAATAAATAAGTATTCAACATGTGTACTTTCAAACAATCAGTAGCGTTCATTTATGAACGCTCACAAATCGCTAATGGAATCCACTCGTTTTGCCTTGGGGGCCACCCTCGAGCTCCGAAAGCGGCAGCACAGCGGTTATTAGTATAGGCAGATTAACATAGCCGGCAATGACGAAGGAGACTTGAATGCCCATTACGGGCTCATTAGCCGTCATCAGCCAGCCATGCCCAATCCTAGGTAGCGCACTATCCGCGGCTCGAACCTGCAACCTGTTGATCAGAAGACAAAGCTCTAGCTACTGAGCAGCATCTTCTAAATAACCAAAGGGAACATGAACGGTTGGCTGGAATTATATGTCAGTCTTGCCCAAAATCCAGACGGAAACCTGAAATTAGAACCCGGGCCAGCTGGTAAGCATTCACTGTTAAATCCGACGACGTGCTGTTTAAGACACGGACCCATGGTCTATCGGATGAGGAAGGGCATATTGAAAGCCAAATAAAAGTCCCTTTAATCAATCTATCCGGATTGCAAAACGAAGCGGTTCACTTCTGCCCTGTCTAGAGATTCTCGGTCTAAAGGTTTCGCAAGCAAACGCATAGTAGATTGCCTAACCTATGAAATGTGAAGATCGAAATTTAAATGGATGATTAAACACACATCTGTTTGTTTATTTTACTTATTGAATTGGCCTGATGCGGAAAACACTGTTTACTAGAAAAGATTTCATTTCATATCAGTATAATGAAAGGAAATAGGCACATAATTTGGCAAAATCCAAAGTTTGTCGATATAGCCGGAATTTCC